CTTGGGTCGATCACCGGAACGGAGAATAGACAACAAACCCAACTTCGCCGCCGTATAGAAAAGACGATCAAGGAAGACCGCAGAAGGAGACATAGGCGTCGAAAAGACGATGATGCCCTTGTCGCTATGCTTGGAAGCGCCAACTTGGGTAGCACCGCTGTACAATGAAAGGCGTGGTCTCCCAGCCCTGTTTAGGTTCCTTTGAGCTACTAATATGTCTCTCTTTCTAGTCGAGTAATCTCTCTTTCTTTCTCCGGTGATGCGCCCGAGTGCGTGTGACGGGTTTCTTTTTCATTTTACGCCATTCCTTTTTGTCCGGACGTTAACCTCTCCATGTCATGCAGCACAGGAGAAAGAAGAGACTTCTGCAGAACCATCACAACAGAGCGTTTCGATGGATAACTTGTCGCCTCTGATCTTATTTATCTACCTTCACGACACTCCTTCTACCTTTGCCTGCCATCACGAAACTGTCCTCTCCTTTCTCCATAACTATTCCCCTTTATATATCATTAAATCCTCCACGCTCTTCCCAAGACTCTACGGTGGACCTCAAAAAATATTCCAATACATGGGAGCCAAGGGTCGGTATTCGATCCATGTCGTTACGGCAATTCGATCGTTCATTCAGCGATTCCACTGTGACTTTTTTCTTTCTTTCACATCCCGGTGTTGTCGTTCTACTTTTACAAAGCCATCCGTACCGATATTGTAAGCTACCGTAACATCTGATGTCGATAAATTTCAATCGATGATATTTTCTATAACTCTTTGCTTTTCAAGATTAAACGGAGGTCCAGATTGATTGAAGGTGAGGTACTATTGCACGATATTATTGTTCGGTTGTACAGTTCAACAAGGGGGTACAGGAAAGATGAAGAGAAGATTGTTTGGTGAGTCCAGTTTCCTTCCAAGTTCTTTCAAAGACGTTTCTACTCGTAAAAGTTCATGAGTCCCAAAGAGAAAAGGTCCCGGTTCATGACTATCCCCTTTCCCTTTCTTCAGCATATTATTACTTCACTTCTTTTAGTGTGGAGCAGGTATGAAGTGTCGACTGTCTTCGAGCTGTTGAGCAGCAGATTGCTAATGGAATCTCAGCATTCGGTCTCTCCAATTTGGAATAGAGAGAAGGGTATTGGGGGTTACGATGAAGAGAAATGGACTAACCTTGAATGCTACAATTCCTACGAGAACTCCAAGTGCGAAGTAGATGAAGGCAACGATGAGCCAAATAATTCCCCAGACTGTAAATCGCAGTTAATACGTATCACTTTGGTATGGCAATGTACAAATAAATACCTCTAGCTGGACAGCATCCACAGATCTTTGCATATACAGCTGCATCACTGGAGTTGACCTAAGGACACCAGGGGCACTCGATTAGAACCGTTCAGCATAAATGACTTCGAGATGGACATACCTTGCGCGCAATTGTATCATCTACCACATCCCAAAGGACTGTAATGCATAGTCAGGAAATGATCCATCAAACGAGTGCAAAGAGATTGCCCGAAAGTTAGACATGAAGGAATACCTACCATACATGCAGCTCATCACGCCTATAAATAGGACAAGGAATCTCAAGGCGATAGATTCCTTGATAAACCAAAAGGCAATGATGATACCAGCAAAACTTAATATAAGCACCCAGCTCCTACAAAGGATATATCAGTAAAGACTTAATTTTCCGTATGCGTATTACTAAGACTTACAAGACGTTTCGCCTTGACCAGAACAAGGCCAGTATGAAGACTGCGGCCATTACCAAAGTTGCGATCTTGGAGGCATTCGTATTGAATCCACAAGCGATCATACATGCTCCCATGAAGCTGCTCCCAAGGTAACCGGCCGGTAGAGTGATCAAAGGGACACCACCAGACATCCTCGTAGCTCCCTACAATGTAAAGAATGATAGCATGCGGTTATAAGGAGATAAAGATGAGATTGATGTTGTGCCAAAGAAAGGTTGTGTGCTTACTCCTTCATCAGCTGGAAGAACGGTGTGTCAATGTTATCCTCAACATAAAAATAGAAAGGGCATACGATCTAGTTCTATCGAGTGTATCCTTGCACAGGTCAAAATTCCAGCAAGGGCATGACTGAACTATGAATGTGCCGGCCCACCAAACC